TGTATCCTGATCCCTTGTTTCTCCTGCTTTATCTTGCTTCTTTGTGTGGACTGTGATGCTCTGTTGTCTCCAAGGCATTGTGATTGTGTTTATAATTAATTGGTGATTGTATGTTGGAGGGAATTGCCCACAATTTTTGTTTTCTTTGTTTTGTTTGTACGTTGTCTACGTAAGCAGGGTACTGTGCTGTGCTCCTCTATTTGCCAGTTGTGAGCACTTCTACACTCACCACTGTCTCCTTTCCTGTTATCAGCCTCCTGTATGTCCCTGGTGTCTTTGGCAAACAGAGCCTATTCTTAGGTCCTGTTTTCATTCAGGTTTTTCCACTCATTGGTGCCTAATCCACTTCTGTATAGTTCCTTTCAAAGCTCAGGGCTCCAGGATTATCTTCTGTATCTCAGTCGATTGGTGTCTCTTTCCTTTGTTGAGGAGGGTCTGTGTCGCTTGTCTGCCTATTCCTCCATTTTACCTGAAGTCCCAATTATAATACTTTACTTTGTCTTCTCAAGCCACCCTTCGAAATCTTCTGTTCAGCTTTTACTTAATAATTTCTTCCATTTGCTTAGCTACTCTCCATTCAAGAGCAAGTCTCAGTCTCTTCTGACATTTATTTTGTATACATATGTACATTTCAAGTATTTTGGGAAAGTTGTACTTTGACTGATACCTTAGGCAAATTACTTAATGTCTCTAAGCCTCAGTTTTCTCATTTATAACTAATCAGTTGCAGTCAAATCTACTCTGACTCATGACAACTCCATGTATGTGTAACTGTGCTCCATTGGGTTTTCAATCAGTAATTTTTTGGAAGTTGATTACCAGGCTTTTCTTATTAGATGCTACTGGGTGGACCTGAACCTTCTACGTTTCAGTTAGCAGCCAAGCATGTTAACCCTACGCACCACTCAGAGACTCTTTCCTCATCTATAAACATGTCAAATGTTACTATACATACATTCCACACACACATACATCCACCAATCAATCAGGATAAGGTGAGGGCTTAACACACTCTCAGTAGGGCTTGAAATACTTTAAATAACTGATACCTTGTATCACCAGTGTCCTTTTTGAATGCAAACCCCAAAATAGCTATCTTCTTATCAGTCACTGTATTAAACAGACTGTCTATAATCCGGGAAGCAAACCTTCTTCTCTGGTAGTCATTCATGTCTATGACCTGAAATTACATGTACAATTGTGCTATGATCAGTTAAAAGAGACAAAGCCTGTGACATATATTACTCATAATTTATGATGAGTACTCTTTTACGAATATTGGCCTTCTAAATTAACTGGAGGCAAAGATTAACCAAACTCTTTAGCTTGCACACATTAAAATAAATAAATAAATAAAAGGAATACCTCCCTCTACTTCTACTTCCTGAAAGTCATCCTAAACATTTTTTCTTTCATTTGGCTTGACTGTCCACGAACCAGGCTAAGATGAATATAAGGATGGGAACAAAGCTGAGGTTCATTTTTAAGAGCATTTGAGTCCAGCAATGAGCCAGCTAAGTAAGGTGTATAGATACGGTGGTTCTTCTTAGCCAATTTCTTCTAACCCTCTGGAAACAAGGCTGTAAGCAATCAAACCCCAAAATATTCCATTACATGTTTACCCCTCTGCCTTCCTAACTCCCACCCCTCACTAAAATGAGTGTGTGCAGGTAGTAGACAGGGGACAGTTAAACACTGTATACAGTCATAGCAGCTTTTGGACAGCCCATAGCATCACAAACACTTGGCAAGGTTAACTAAATCTTTTAAGAGTCTCTGATCACCTAATCTGTCATGCTCCCAAGAATTTATAAAGAAGATTTCAGGTTGGTAACCAGATGAATATAAGGAGAGACAGTTTGTGTGTGTGTGTGTGTGTGTGTTTTAAGGACACTTAGCATCTAGGGGCTATCTCAAACCTGGAGAGCTGAAGAAATTAGCCCACAGTGTTAGAAAATCAGCCTTTATCTGTATTTTCCCCATGATGAACAGTAAGATAAAGCCATTATGGAATGAGTGAAAGACCACCAAAAGTACATACTTCTCTAAAAACGTTCATTTCCTTAGATTTTCACCCATTTCTGTTGTTAATATGTTAAAAAAAAATTATTAAATAAGGAGAAATATTTGGGAAAAGCATGTATCTTGAATGCTACCTTGAACATATTAGTTAACATTTCTAAGCCTGTTTCCTCATTTATAACTAATCAGTTGCCATAAAATCTACTCTGACTCATGTATGTCAGAGTAGAACTGTGCTCCACGGGGTTTTCAATGGCTAATTTTTCTCAAGTCGATTGGAAAGCTTTCTTATGAAGTGACTCTAACTAGACCTGAATCTGCAATTTTTCAGTTAGCAGCCAAGCGAGTTAATGATTTACACTACACAGGGACTCTTTCCTCATCTATAAAGGGATACAATATTAGTAATGAGGACAAAATAGGATCAACATTAATCCTATTTCTCAGAGCTCATTCAATGTTTTGGGAAGAGTTAATAATTTTAATTCTATGAATCTGAAATAGATAAGTATAAAAATATGCAAACCATTTGAAAGCATTACAATACAGATTCTTCTTGTTATTTTGCTTTTAGGCATCTCAAGCTAAAGAATTAAGATTAATGGTTCTTACTTTACTCTGTGAGCAAATTTAGTTATAAAATCAGTACTGGTTGAGGAGAAACTTCCATCACAGTTGAGTACAAAGAATGACAAGGTAAAAACACAGAAGCCTAAAAAATAAATGTAAAATAAACAACTTAATTAAAAATGGTTGAGATCCTGGAATACATAAATTCCATCAGAAACATCCTCCAGAGAGTAATGACTGGGGTCTTAAAAGCTTTTGAGT